TACACGTGTTAATGTGTAACGTCACAATCAAAAACTGTACACGTGTTAATGTGTAAAGTAAATCGGTCTTAACGCATAACTTCAAGATAATTATTTTACGTAGATTATACAACAAAGCTTAGGAAACATAGCCAGCATACGAACTATATGCTGGTTAGCATCTAATTGTAGAAAAACACAGAGTGTTTTTGTTGGATCTCTGACCATCTGTTACGACTCCATTTGTGGCAAAACATACGAAAACATGTTTGGTCTGAAATCATTGAATAGATAGCAATCTGTTGATGGCCTCCTCATTTTCAAAATACATCACCCGTTTATCGAAAACATCACCCGTTTATCAAATACATCGTCCGTTTATCGATTACATCAACCGTTTATCAAATACATCACTCGTTTATCAAATACATCACTCGTTTATCAAATACATCATCCGTTTATCAAATACATCACTCGTTTATCAAATCCATCATCCGTTTATCAAATACATCTCTCGTTTATCAAATACATCATCCTTTTATCAAATACATCATCCGTTTATCAAATACATCACTCGTTTATCGAAAACATCACCCGTTTATCAAATACATCGTCCGTTTATCAAATACATCACTCGTTTATCAAATACATCATCCGTTTATCAAATACATCACCCGTTTATCAAATACATCATCCGTTTATCGAATACATCAACCGTTTATCGAATACATCAACCGTTTATCAAATACGCGTCAAGTCGACAGCGTCTGACCCTTTATCTACGACACATCAAATCGACAGTGTCGGACCCTTTATCATCGACACATCAAGTCGACAGTGACGGACCCTTTATCTACGACACATCAAGTCGACAGTGTCTGACCCTTTATCAACGACACATCAAGTCGACAGTGACGGACCCTTTATCTACGACACATCAAGTCGACAGTGCCAGACCGTTTTTCAAGGACACATCAAGTCGACAGCGTCTGACCCTTTATCAACGACACATCAAGTCGACAGCGTCTGACCCTTTATCAACGACACATCAAGTCGACAGTGTCGGACCCTTTATCAACGACACAACAAGTCGACAGTGACGGACCCTTTATCAACGACACATCAAGTCGACAGCGTCTAACCCTTTATCTACGACACATCAAGTCGACAGTGTCGAACCCTTTATCTACGACACATCAAGTCAACAGTGTCGGACCCTTTATAATCGACACATCAAGTCGACAGTGTCAGACCCTTTATCTACGACACATCAAGTCAACAGCGTCGGACCCTTTATCATCGACACATCAAGTCGACAGTGTCAGGCCCTTTATCAACGACACAACAAGTCGACAGTATCGGACCCTTTATCAACGACACATCAAGTCGACAGGGTCAGACCTGGTATCTACGACACATCAAGGCAACAGTGTCGGACCCTTTATCATCGACACATCAAGTCGACAGTGTCAGACCCTTTATCAACGACACAACAAGTCGACAGTGTCGGACCCTTTATCAACGACACATCAAGTCGACAGTGTCAGACCTGTTATCTACGACACATCAAGTCAACAGTGTCGGACCCTTTATCATCGACACATTAAGTCGACAGTGTCAGACCCTTTATCAACGACACAATAAGTCGACAGTGTCGGACCCTTTATCAACGACACATCAAGTCGACAGTGTCGGACCCTTTATCAACGACACAACAAGTCGACAGTGTCTGACCCTTTATCTACGACACATCAAGTCGACAGTGTCAGACCCTTTTTCAACGACACATCAAGTCGACAGTGTCTGACCCTTTATCAACGACATATCAAGTCGACAGTGTCGAACCCTTTATCTACGAAACATCAAGTCGACAGTGCCAGACCGTTTTTCAAGGACAAATCAAGTCGACAGCGTCTGACCCTTTATCAACGACACATCAAGTCGACAGCGTCCGACCCTTTATCAACGACACATCAAGTCAACAGTGTCGGACCATTTATCAACGACACATCAAGTCGACAGTGTCGGACCATTTATCAACGACACATCAAGGCGACAGTGTCGGACCATTTATCAACGCCACATCAAGTCGACAGTGTCGGACCCTTTACCAACGACACATCAAGTCGACAGTGTCGGACCCTTTATCAACGACACATCAAGTCGACAGTGTAGGACCCTTTTTCTACGACACATCAAGTCGACAGCGTCTGACCATTTATAATTCTGAATATCACATTCAATTGATAAAAATCTGTGTTACAGATAAGGGAGGCTTTTCTGTGTCACTGCCGAGGGAGATCATTCTAAATATCCCATTAAATAAATAATACTATGTGTCACTGCCGAGGGAGATAATTCTAAATATCTCATTCAAGGGAGACAATCCTTAATGTCTTCTTATTATAAGCAGACATTCCTGTGTGTAATACTGACGATAATTATCGTTAATTTGCTACAAAGAGATGACAAAAACATCAACCACCATATCTGCACGTTGTTTTAGCCATTGGGAAACTAACAGAATGCATTACAGTAATGAATAATATTTATATCTAAAGGTAGAATATATTGTTGGAATATTCTTGTAATATATAACTGAAATCATCAAAAAATATTAATTCCTTTAGCTTCATTCAACTAATTCTAGTTACAGGAATAATTATATATGTAAGGAAGCAGGAACAACTAAGACATGCTTTCCGTTACGTTTTAAAACTTCTGATATCGTAACGGTATTGGGTCGATGGCTGGTAACATGTAACCGTAGCTCACTAAGAGCTGTGTAGAGCTCGGGTGTCTCGGGCTCGAATCCCGACCTGTCCACTTATGTTTGAGGGACCATGGCCTGGTATGTTTACCAGTCCAACAGATCATTGTATCCCCTGATAAGTGCTCGAGGTGTGAGTTATCACACTCCTATACACATAAACACCGGTACTAACCACAACACTTCCCAATTCGCTCGCGATGTTTACATTGGCAGCCATTCATTACAACTCATAAAACAGCGGACTATATCAGTAGGTTAGATGGACGCAGTACCGTGCCATGTAGTAGCTGTTTAAAATGTACAATAGAACGTTTTTATGCAGAACTGTTTAATGATGGCCGTCGAGCTGCCAGCTTGGACTTTGACAATTCCATGTGATTATCACTATTTCTCAAAAAGTACTCGTCATCTATTTTTAATACGATATGTATTCCTCCTTTGATCCTTAGTTGGTCGTTTTTCATTTTGAGAGACTGATCAGGGAAAAAAGATGGCAACCATGCGGCAATCTCGATTTTATTGTCGTTATTTCTTAAAAGGTACTTGACAGATGGCAGTTGATAGTTCGTTTCATAAGTTACCGTAGCTTTGTACTTGTGACTGTTTCATTTTGAGACTATTTGTGAAATTGGGAAAAACAACTAACCACCTTGGATTATGTTGGTTCAAATTTGTGATCGCTATTTCTCAAGTAGTCCTTGGCAGATACTTTGTTTTGTTTTTTATTTACCTTTCAAATACAGTTTTGTCTGAAATGAATATCGTTACGATCATCAGTTTTATAAGGAGGGGAGACAACCTATCGTTTTGTAAATAAGCCTTCAGAAGTTGTCTCCCCTTTCCATTGAATTAAACAGATAGATGTTACTTGAGAAGCTGAGATTCGTCTTTTTAAATAGCTTCTTGTTTTTATTTAACATTGTTACTTTTTGCAGTGCGATAATAAAGTCGAATTCTCCACAATCCTCACACGTCAATGCCATTCCATAATCTAGATAAAAGCACAACTAATTATAAGGACAAAGCTAGACATTAAATTGATATAACTGGCCAAAAATGGTAGTAGCTGGACAAAACAAAAAAACCCAAACATGACGTAACAGATTGTGGAAAACATCAAAGGCTTAAAACAAGACACAGTGTGTGTTTCTTTATGAATATATTCGTTTGAGGAATGCCGTTTATAGCTTAACAAGATCTTACCAAGCATTGAATTGTTCATTAATTGTTCTCATTATTATTTTCAGCATATCCAGAGGATTTCGGTAACATGGATGGTAAAACTAACTACAAGACAATCGTTGTGCTGGTATTCTGTCTGAGTTGTATGCTCAACCTGCTGGCTTACCTGCTGATGTACAACGCAAGTAGGGAACGAACACTGCAGGATCACAGCAAATTCCTACTCTCCTCTGGCGGCGGAGGAGGAGGCAATATACAGCCATCGTCACTAAGTGAAAATCGACTTACGAATTCTTTTGCACCTCTTGCCGCTGCGCCAGAAGGAACGGTCAGAATTGGTGTCCAACAGTTCTTAAAAGCAAGGTTAAAATCTCCAGAGGTTTTGTCGAGAAAACTTCAAGAAGAAGATAATTCAAATGTTGATCAAGATAATCAGAATGCAACTGTAGGTAACGTTACCAATCCCCATAATTATACATACGTAATTAACCAGCCTGACATATGCAGGGGAGATAATCCACTCGATTTAATCATCGTGGTTTGTACGAGTGTGGCAGGGTTTTCCAAAAGACAAACCATTCGGGAAACATGGGGATTATTTGCAAAAGAGCAAAAAAATGTGAAAAATTTATTTTTTCTTGGAGTGCAAGACGAGGAAAATATTCAGAAGAAAGTCCTTGAAGAAAGTGAGATTCATCATGACATCGTGCAGGAAGACTTTCGCGATTCGTATCGAAACTTGTCAATTAAATCAGTTGGTGCACTTAAGTGGATGACAGATTATTGTCACATAGCCAAATTTGGACTGAAAATCGATGATGATATTTTTGTGAATATTCCAAATCTCATGGAGACATTGTCAAAAGTGACTCACCCTCGGATTATAATTGGACATCTATTCGTTGGCGCTCGTCCAATACAGAATAGGAACTCTAAGTGGCATACAGCGAAGGAGGATTTCCCGCGGGACGTGTATCCTCCGTATGTGTCCGGGACCTGCTACATCGTGTCTATACAAGCAGCAACAGATATCTACCATGTTTCTTTATATACCAAATTATTTTGGTTGGAAGACATTTATATTACAGGAATTTGTGCAGAAAAGGCAAAAATTAAACTGGTTCACGAAGGAGAGATATCGTTTATGACACGTGAAGCCAGTGGTTGTGCTTTTGAACATGCAATAACGGGACATAAAGTGAGCTCAACAGACATGTACAAAATATACAGGGAATTACGAGATCCGAACCTCAAGTGCAACAACGATATAAACCGTGGATGATAAAAGTCCAGTTCTGTATTAATTATTTGATTCTAAACATTTATCTTATTTTAAAATTGTATACATATCAGGAAAAGTCATTGAAATTGTTTCACCACACTTCCCTAAAACAAAAATGCCGTGTAAAATTATATGAGGAGAGTTATCACACCTTGAAATAGCAATAAATCGTCATATTACAAAAGGGGCGTGGTCACACAAACAATATACGTGTCAAATTACAGTAGGGGCGTGGTCACTCAAACAATACACCAGTCACATTACAGTAGGGGCGTGATATCACAAACAATACACGTGTCACATTACAGTAGGGGCGTGGTCAAACAAACAATACATGTCACATTACAGTAGGGGCGTGATCTCACAAACAATACACGTGTAACATTACAGTAGGGGCGTGGTCACACAAACAATACACCAGTCACATTACAGTAGGGGCGTGATCTCACAAACAAAACACGTGTCACATTACAGTAGGGGCGTGGTCAAACAAACAATACGTGTCACATTACAGTAGGGGCATAAACACACTTGGTTATTACAATACAGTGTCACTTGTATCACACTTAATTTACGTTACACTATATTGGTATTACACTGCCATTGAATTATGCTGTAAGTTACGTATTATTTGTATAAATATTTTATTTCACTATATTTTTATTACATACTGTCTTAAAGAATTGCTCCTACTAGCAACATCCGAACAAACACATGTATCATCTCACCGCTGTCGACGTCATACCATTAGTCTACGACTACTATTGAAAAAGCTAATAGTTCCTTTTGTATTTGGTTACCAGCATCCTACCTGTTATTTGTTTAATACTATCATATGTAAACAATTTGAAATGTGTAGTGCAGAAAAGTGAAGGGTCGTGTGTGCTTTGATTTGTTAAAGCTAGCATTCCATGTTCGGACATGTTGCAGTGTCTTGGTGATACATGTATGGCATAATACAACTATCTTTGACGTGTAAGTGCTGTTTGTATATAATTTATGTAAATGAAATTACAATTAATGACATTCTAAACAAATCAAGATTTCAAAATAAAATCCTGTAATCAAAATTAAGGTCAAGGTCACATGTTTTTCGGCGCTTTCCGTAATCGATAAAAAATATTCTCGTTTACGGAAATTTCCGACGTTTTCCGACTTACTCACTTCAAGACGCCTGTGCTGTGTTGGAGATAGCTGCGGAAACCTTAGCTTCTAGGCCCGATCTTTTTTTTTTAAACAAATTAAAAAAAGGATCGGGCCTAGAAACTACGGTTCCCGCAGCTATGTTGGAGAGGACAATGGTTTAGATGATCGAGACTACTGACTAAATGGCATTGGTAACTTTAGGTTTCACTGAGGGACACCAGTGTGTTTTCAGTGGAGCCAGTCGTGAGTTTTTGATTTTTGTCAAAAGTTACGTCATCAGTTAATAAGCTCCACACAAAATGTATTATGGAAAATTATAAATATTTGTAGCCGATAATGTAAAGTAACCATATAGTTAATGTATCATTTATATTTGTGGCATGCAAATGCTATTGTTCGGTCCCTTCGTAAAATCTATTTTTAATTGTTACATTAAACCATACCGAATCCTGCACACAAACTGCTTTTCCACGCATCAGGCGCCATTGGTGATATTCTGATGACTGATCTGAGATGTCAATACTTGTTAAAAATGTATGACTTTGGTGTCAGTATATCTGTTAAACTGTTAAGTCGATGATGTATCACTGAACGTTGTCGAATTCGGGAACATGTTTCCGAATTCGACAAGGTTGCCGAATTCTGAGTTTTGCAGAACTGGTATGCCTGATTGAATGAATGAAAATATTCAGACCAATGAACAAATATCTTACCTTTGTTTTAAGCTCATCTATGTGAAACCATTTCCATACTGAAGTATATACTCCGCCCGGCTTTATCAACACTTTTACTGGCGACAAACCTTTGCTCAAATTGTAAAGTATGATAAGATGTGGATCACCAGAACAGAGACGTATATATTAGGAATTATCCATTTTATCAGTTAAAATATTGTCGAATCGAAACGGTACTGACGGCAAATAAGTGGTTGTTTTTGGTAACCATTTCAACATACCGTATAACAATTACATAACAAAACAATTGATATCATTTTTGCTTGGAAATCTTACCAAACAATAGCATCAAACGGCAAAATTGTGTTGAGCTATCCTTTCAAAATGGCGCTCTGTCTTGGTGTCAAGCGTGACGTCAAATATTACGCTACTATGTAGCTATTTCCTGCGATTTTTGATGCAGCAATATTTTCTGCGTATTACTTTTTAAAAACCGCAATAACGAGAGACCATTTAATACAATGTAATACAAATATTTTCAAATTTATTAATTCCCTCTAAATATCTCTAAATGAATAAGATATGTCTTTAGATATAATGAGATATACATGTATCATATTTAGATTAAATTAGAATCTCTGTTGTTTATAAGATAGCTCATCAATTAATATTTTTAGCATCTGTGTGGATCATGTGTGTCAACAATGTATATACTCGTGTAAATGTTATTTCATGCAAAAATGTTCTTTTTATGTTTCCTTTGCTGTTTATGAAATGATAAATTTATCTGTGATAATTGGAGATTAATTAAAGGTGATTATATTAATCCGCTTTTGTTTTGATTGCCGTCTGATCAGATTTAACTATGCATAGAAATTGTTTTCATCGTGTTTTGTACGGTGGCTTTAATTATTTTTGTCAAATCGTTGTTACTTTGCAGTAGTTTCGTTAGTCCGCGGAGATGAGCTACCATGTATACCTCCTTTTTAAAGATAAACGGCAGAGTTTTCTGATATGGCAACATCTTTGTACCTATAGCATTTGCCTAAAACATTTGAATTACAATGAAATGGTATTAAAGAAATTCTCAATTCCAACAAAGATCACCGGCGTGTAGAAAACCGTACTGAACGTGTCATGGGAGGTAACTCACAACTTTCAAATGCAACGCTTTTACCTCAAAATTGCATGCTTCCTCAAGTAACGAGTGAAGAAAACTAATGATACGCTGGTGGCAGCTTGAGATGATATACTCGTTATGTGAGATGCCATACATAAGGTACGTGAAATATGCTGACGTACCAAATCTGTGTTACTTGCTTACAGAAAGAACTAGGCTTGCTCGATAACCAAGGAAACTCGGCCAATACATTTTCCAATTTTTCTAAAGACGAAATACTAGCAAATCACACTTCTGTATTTCAATGATTCGGACCTTTGATTCCAAAATTTCCCAAGAATCCTTATAAACAGCGTGTTATCGTTGGTTCCTCTAGTTCCTTACCCAAGTCATTATCCAAACCTATCACTACCATCCCCAGTACCATTAAATCAGGGTTACAGTCGCAGTGTGTAACTGTATACTTAGAAGTGGAATAAACAGTATCAGGATTTTTAAGAATTCAAAAGATCTTTTGATCAATCTTGAACGTACTCTTCTCAAAAATGTTACCACTACCTGTTACAAAATGAAGGAACGCCTACGTTCTCTTGCTATGCGCGCTTTCTTTTCAAAGAAAGGCGTACGTCGATACAAATAATTTATTTATTATATGGTTATAAATTATTTCGGAGCATATTTCGTTCAAAGTACAACAAAAGCCAAAATGAAATATACTGAGGACGATATTATGAGAATGATTGAGTTCGGTGGCAAGATTTTCCAGCAGACTGTAGGCATTCCCACGGGAACAAACTGTACCCCTCTTCTGGCCGATTTGTTTCTGTTTTCATATGTCAGAACCGATAACAAAAACCTAGCCAAGTCCTTCAATTTCACATTCAAATATATCGACGATGTGGCGACTGTTTTTAATAACAAGAATACCCTCCAGGGCTTTAAATCAGAGACACCACAGACTCTTAAAACTTACATCGTGACCAACAGGGACGGCTTCCTACTCAACTGTATAATAAGAGGGATGATTTCGACTTTCCTATTTTGAACTTTCCCTTTCTGGATAATCAACATCCATGTTTCCCCTCCCTGTTTACATGTCACAGTTGATTTGGTACTCACGAGCATGATCCGAATATCGTGACTTCAGTGATAGGTGTCGACTGCTGACGGACAAACTAACTATACAGGGTTTCCAAAGATGCAGGTTGATGCCGATCGCCATCAGAAGGTCGCAGGGAAATATGTTTTATCTGTTTGTGAATGAAGGTTGATGTTTTATATTATGCTCATTAAGAGTGCCTTGTGGTTTTGTCGTCACTACCCGAGTTCTCGATGCGATGAATTGACATTACTTGGATTTGACCTAAATTTACATGGCGGTTGTCATTGATGAAGCAGAAGACGCTTACCCTTCCGAAACACCTGGTCTAATTTTCCTTGTACTTTTTCAATGGTCTCCCTGTATGTAGTTTGCCCTAGTTTTATCGATTTTAAATTCGAATTATGATTTGTTGACACTTCGGTATTCTCGTGTTATTTTTGTGTAGAAAGTTTGGTGAACAAATTAAAAAAAAACAGTCAAAAAATGAGTCAAATGAGGCGATGAATTCCCAAAGCCATCTCAAACGGCTCGGTCAAAATTCCCATAATGTTACAAGAAAACGATACAATTACAAAAAAACAGTCGTCATAGTAGCCATTGGTAACATTGTTCCTGACATGGGTATTGCTTTGATAAATAATTTCTGAAAGGGAAAAGAGCGAAGTGATTCGATAGAGATAACCATAACTTGCTGATTTACCGTGGAAAAAATAAAGATGAAATAAAACATAAATGTCAACGACAGTGTAAAGATACAATGGGACCAGCCCAGGATTTGAACCCTGGACCTGTGATATGTCTACGGTGTGCTTACTAACTGAGCTACCCTGGCCTAATCGCGCCCCAGTTCTATCCAAAACAAACTCAATGAGAGGTTACTGTATATAGGAAAAACTACGCCGGAATCTTCTGATGTAGTATTTGCAGTTGGACAGAGCAGTTTAAAGTTTGAAAGATGGTAAATGTTTTGTTAAATATTTTGCTGACACGCATTACGGCAAATTGTGATACATAACTGAACCGATCACACTCTCACGTGTTTTGAAATTATGAATCGTTCACAGATATTTCTAAATATTTACATTTGCACTGCATAGTGCCTAGATACTCTACTGGTCCCATTGTAACATATTTTCCAATGAACTACAACGGGGATTAGGTCCGTGTAGTGATACACTGACCGAATTACCGCCAAGTGGCGATGTTCCGCTGTGTTGTGTCTGCAAATGTTATTGTATGACAGTTAAATCGCTAAATGACCACAACATATATCAAAATGGTCACATGTTAGTATACAAATTGGTAATTGACATAATTTTATATGCATTTAAATAAAAAAAAACAATTATTAAATTGATGTGTTTACTGTGGAACTTTCTTGTTTCTTGTTTTTGTCGGCCTTGTTGCCCTTGACAACGACTGTGGAATGCGAAACTACCCGGCTGTTCCGAACAATTTACCGCTGACCCAGTCGGTGTGTATAAGAGTTTTAAAACAGCAATTAACAATACTCGCAACATTGCACAACTAATATTGTTGGTTTGGAATATAAATATAAGGATTGGTTGTCATATTTTTGACGTTTATTGGCGTGTAAACTACATCGGGCTTGCGATATATTGAATGGTGCGCGTTAGCGGGATATGGACTTTGAATGTACTCAAGACGACATCATAGAGTGCGAGAATGGCTACAAAACAGGAGCTGGCAAGCGATGCGTCAACTGTAAAATGTCCCGGTGTGGTTCATTCAGACATCAACCTAATCTGTGTGTGGTCCATAAAACGTGTGATGCCTGTATGAACCATGCTCTAACATCTTCAAGTACATGTGACAACTGTGGGCCAAACGAAAAGACTTTCAGAGGTCCCGAGACATGTCAACCAAACACTCACCACAGTCTACATCGAGATAATACATGTTTCTCGTGGTGGGAAATCACACAAAAAGGCGTGTTCTCTGTGCAAATGTAGGCACTGGCTTGTCCACCTGGTGACCGTGTGGTTAGAACACCTTATTGATTAATTCGATATAACTCTGCATCGTTTAGGACATGCGCCTCCTGGTTCTCAAGGACATGTAGGCAAGCAATTTATACAATATAGACCATTCAGATTTAAATTGTTATTATGCATTTGTTCTTTTAATGGACAAAGAGGGGGATTTTTCTTTATTTGAAAACGCATATTTGACAGTTTTTAAACAACGAGTTCTTTTCAAAATTATGTTATTCGCCGAAATATAAAAAAAAAAAAAAAATGGTACCACAAGAAATGCAGGAGTGTGCTGCTCAGAGTGAAATGCAAAATTGACTAACATTTTTGCCATTTGCAAAAATTAGGAATGATTTTGTGACAAAACATTTAACAATGACAGAGGTATTCATCAAGGCGGTCCTATTTGTCATTAAACGAACTACGAATTAAATGATGTCTGAAGCCAAATATAACAATACCTCCTTGTAAAAAGAAATATAAATAAGTACATGCACGGCTCTACGCCCGTTTTGCATCGCTGCTGGATTTTTTCCTTGATGTCACTAATTATTTTGCTTCGACAAGGTGTCTTCTACTATGCTGGTGCAGATTTCCTTTGTTGGATTTTTTTTTCAAATGAGGCCATTACATACGACTCTGACACTCTTTAACTGGTTGATTGTGAATCTATTTACTTTGGTGAACGTTCAGGATAGTCTGCAGATCCAATGGATTGTTCGACAGCAGCACTATGTCGTCCGCAACTGTTCCAGTCCCGATGTAGGTAGTGGAATAGTCTCGCTCAACCAGACCCTTGGTGTTTGCGCAAGCTACGCCGAACCGAGAGTGCAGTCTCGACAGAGGGCGAGGGTCTGGGGAATATGAGACTAGTAGTGGTACCGATTAAACAACCCGTAAGGTTAAGCGTCTGCTTCTTCGTTGGCGACAACCAAATTGGCTTAGGTAAAATTAAAGTAATATCACACCCTCATAGCGAGAACTGGAGTTATGACATCAAAATAATGCGGACAAACAAAAATATCTATGTAACCTCTGGATCTACTTAAAACCTGTCAGGCTCACAATCGCGACGGTCAGAGTGTTCCGCTAAACTTACCGTGAAGTTGACTTGAACTTATTTTTTGTAAAAATGTCAAATGCTGATGTCATGTGTTGATGGGCGATGTCGATATATTTTGGTAGAGTTGATTCATAGAAATAAACATCTGACATAAAGCATGACGTTAGTGTTTACTGTTAATCGTCTGTCGACCAAATGGCGACTGGAAATGAAAAATCCTTCCCAAAAAAAATCCAAGTTAAAGACACAAAATAGGACAATTGTCCAAAAGGACACAGAGATAAAACGAACATTTAAAAAAAAAGAAAAACGACAGAGTTTTGATGCAAGTGGTTATTAGTTGAAATAGCTATGTTCCTAACTCATTAGTGAAGACAATGCCGATCGTTCAACGGGAGATAACTCGCAAATGTGTGTATTATTGTGTCACCTAGAGATCACGTAAACGTTATAAGAGTTAGAAAGCATATAGGATACCGCAACATGTGGTAGTTTCAAGTTTAAAGAGAGGAGTAATCATATATACTGGTGGTAGAAATCATATATACTGGTGGTAGAAATCATATATACTGGGGGGTAGAAATCATATATGCTGGTGGTAGAATTCATATATACTGGGTGGTAGAAATCATGTATACTGGTGGTAGAAATCATATATACTGGTGGTACAAATCATATATACTGGTGGTAGAAATCATGTATACTGGGTGGTAGAAATCATATATGCTGGTGGTAGAATTCATATATACTGGGTGGTAGAAATCATATTTACTGGTGGTAGAAATCATATATACTGGGCGGTAGATATCATATATACTGGTGGTAGAAATCATGTATACTGGGTGGTAGAAATCATATATGCTGGTGGTAGAAATCATATATACTGGTGGGAGAAATCATATATACTGGTGGTAGAAATTATATATACTGGTGGTAGAAATCATATATCCTGGTGGTAGAAATCATATATACTGGTGGTACAAATCATATATACTGGTGGTAGAAATCATATATCCTGGTGGTAGAAATCATATATACTGGTGGGAGAAATCATATATACTGGTGGTAGAAATTATATATACTGGTGGTAGAAATCATATACACTGGGCGGTAGAAATCATATATACTGAGTGGTAGAAATCATATATACTGGGGGGTAGAAATCATATATGCTGGTGGTAGAAATCATATATACTGGTGGGAGAAATCATATATACTGGTGGTAGAAATCATGTATACTGGGTGGTAGAAATCATATATGCTGGTGGTAGAATTCATATATACTGGGTGGTAGAAATCATATTTACTGGTGGTAGAAATCATATATACTGGGCGGTAGAAATCATATATACTGAGTGGTAGAAATCATATATACTGGGGGGTAGAAATCATATATGCTGGTGGTAGAATTCATATATACTGGGTGGTAGAAATCATATGTACTGGTGGTAGAAATCATATATACTGGGTGGTAGAAATCATATATATACTGGTAGTAGAAATCATATATACTGGTGGTAGAAGCATGTTCTGCTCCTCGTGTGGTACCTGGCATAAAGAACGAAGAGATTATATCGTTTTGGGAAACGCTTACTATATATAAGCTATGATCGAGGGGAAACATGTAATCCACATTCATTTTCAGCGGATACATGACGGAACTAAGACAATATTCCGGGTTTATCACTGCGTAGGGAAGTTCGGTGCATTAACGGAAGTTTAAGAGCATGCAACCCCACATCACCCGGACATTGAGCACTGTTCAATACAGATCTTTGGTATTCGACGAAACAACAGGGAAGTTATAGTACCAAGCACAGCTTCTTCCTGGTTTAATTTTTTTTTTAAATGACGCAGATAGTAATACCTACATGTAGTGTAGTTCATTTGAAACAACAGCAAGTAAATATTATGGAGCATTATTCTCCCGGCCCCACTTAATTTGGAACTTCAAAAGTCTTGTATGCCACTATTTACATCACAATGTATTGGTATTGTAACGCAGCAACAGAGATGTATAATCTCCATGTAACAGAGAATTATCAGTTGTCATGGTTATGCAACTGGAAGTGTCAATTTATGACAAAGTTATCACCGCTGAATGCATTACTCAAAACCGCACATGGCGCGCAATTACAAATTCAATTTTTAACATACATTTAAGATACATTACAGAAAAATGACACAACACAACCTATAAACAAAATGTTAACCCATTTAGATGTTTTTGACAATTACCAGCGTTAAAAAACAAATAACCGAATGTTGTAACAAACATTTATGGCGTGTGAGAGCTACATATGTATATGACAATGGACGAAGAAACTAACGAAATCAGGACACAATACACGAACCTGAACCAAAGTGTTAATGACTTACACGAGTTTAAATTGAAAATCCTGTATGGTTGGACTTCAGATTATACAAACGTACGGAGAAGTATTTAAGGAAGATACTTGTGCAAGTGTGTAAGAATATACATTACCTCTCAATCGTCCCGCTCTAACCGCACGACATATATTATACCACACGTTTATTACTCGCATTACCAGCGTGAATATATATGTCTATCAATACTCGTTTACCGGCAAAGTAAGTAAACACCATTACACTATTGCGGGGGAATTGTGAAGGTACGTATATTGTATCTTTATTTTGTTAAAAAGTTCAAATTCGTTCAGAATACACAAACAAAAACATCGTTACTTAAGCTTCCTCTTTAGTCATACTTAAATTAGATTAATTTGACTATGATCCAACAGCCTAAAATTTCATTAAATTTTTACAGTTCAAGATTCCATCACGAGTTACTTCCCTTAGTGTGGAAATCTTTGTTTTTGTTGATGACGTTGTGTCATATGATTATACATGTAGGCCTACGGAGGGAAGCTGATATTGATCGTCTATATTGTTTCATAAATTATGGCGATTTGTTCGAGACTGTAGCCGCTTAAAACAGCAGGTAAGGTCATACCAATGACACTTGTGTTATTTTACGAAAGGAGTCCAAAATTTGTTCAAACACGTGTGGAGTGATCGTGAGTGTGAAGGTTTGTTTAGTTTCCAACGTTAACAGTGAAAAAAGACCGGCATGTTGGAACTAATTGGATGCCCAAGGCCAGTATTCAAACGTGTCAATGTAGACGTATATACATCCTAGGAATAATAATTGGCATAGCATTTTGGGGATCTGCTTTGTGTGTGAAGGTGTAGTATATTTTGTCACGTCGAGTTCATTGAATTATACTGTTATTGCAATAAGTGATCTGTGGTGATATTTTAATGTCTTTAGTCTTGGGATGATTTAGCCATGATAATTACATGATAATCATGTGTCTAGTATTGGTACGGATTTCAATGCCTGTGATCTTTTCTTATTCGAAAGTTTTTTTTATATCAACAAACAGCTAAATGTTTTTATTTAATGCCAGATACCTTTCATTATAGTCATGACTCATGGTAATATGATGATTGCTAACCCAGCTAAATTTTGAACTTGAATGCATGTTGTTCAAACTCTCACTACTTGTACCTCAGTAAAAACTTTCAAAGTCAGGTATAATACCTCATTGAACCCTAGTTGGTTATACAGTAATTAATCCCTACTGAGTAACATGCATTATTTCACATTTAGATATTATTGTTGAAACAGGGTACATTGTTTAATTTTTGTTGTTTTGTTGATGGTCGGAGTGCTCCTCATTCGGTGCTAGGAAATAATTGGGTCTCAACTCATGTCTCTGCATGGGAAAGAAAATTGAAGGGAACAGTCACTTACTGGTATCTAGGCTTTCTTACGTGTTAAGATGGTTGTTATTATATGGCATCAAATTTGTAATGATATGGCCTGTAGAAATGTAGCGGAACTGGACTGGGTCGATCATCGGTGACCAGGTAGCTCAATTGGAAGAGTGTCGGTCTAGAGTTCGAACCCCGGTCTGGTCGTGCATTTTTTCGCTCCTGTTACATTTGGTGCCTGTGACCAACCCTTGTTTCAAGTACTAAGTGAATGCTTGACAATACAAGGGGATACATGAACCTGGGTTATAAATAGTTGTGTCTTCGGGGGCAAAGACTTGAAAAAGATGGAAGAATTGTAGCGGAACTGGACTAGGTTAATCATCGGTAACAGGTAGTTCAATTGGTAGAGCATCCGTCTAGAGTTCAGAGGGCCCCGGGTTCGAACCCCAGTCTGGCCGTGCATATTTCTGCTCCTATAACAGAAAGTTATTATTTCTATTCTCTATGGGTTTTTAGGTCACCTGAGCTTTAGCTCAAGTGACCTATTGCTATCCGTTTTCGTCCGTCGTCGTCCGTCGTCCGTCGTCCGTTAACATTTTACATTTCAAACTTAAAGTCAAGTTCTGCTGGGCCGATTGAACTGAAAGTTGGTAGGAATGATCGCCTCATGGTCCTGACAAAGTGTTGTTATTTTTCGGGTCGATCAGAAATCCAATATGGCCGCCACGGCCGCCATTTTGAAAACCTATTTCAAACTTAAAGTCAAGTTCTGCTGGACCGATTGAACTGAAAGTTGGTAGGAATGATCGCCTCATGGTCCTGACAAAGTGTTGTTATTTTTCGGGTCGATCAGAAATCCAATATGGCCGCCACGGCCGCCATTTTGAAAACCTATTTCAAACTTAAAGTCAAGTTCTGCTGGACCGATTGAACTGAAAGTTGGTAGGAATGATCGCCTCATGGTCCTGACAAAGTGTTGTTATTTTTCGGGTCGATCAGAAATCCAATATGGCCGCCACGGCCGCCATTTTGAAAACCTATTTCAAACTTAAAGTCAAGTTCTGCTGGACCGATTGAACTGAAAGTTGGTAGGAATGATCGCCTCATGGTCCTGACAAAGTGTTGTTATTTTTCGGGTCGATCAGAAATCCAATATGGCCGCCACGGCCGCCATTTTGAAAACCTATTTCAAACTTAAAGTCAAGTTCTGCTGGACCGATTGAACTGAAAGTTGGTAGGAATGATCGACTCATGGTCCTGACAAAGTGTTGTTATTTTTCGGGTCAATCAGAAATACAATTTGGCTGCCATGGCCGCTATTTTGCTACTAAGTTCTAATAGGCCGATCTCACTTAAAATTGGTCTAGGAATGATCAGCTCATGGTCCTGACAAAGTTAAGTTAACAAATATACTATTTTTTACTCAAATTGGTACATATTTCAACAACAAAAATAAATACTGTAGACTCAGGTGACCGTTTAGGCCCATGGGCCTCTTGTTTTTATAAGTTTTTACTTTGATCTTCATGTTTTCCTATAGTCATCAAACTTTTTTTTTGTTCATCTCTTTGAGTACACAACGCCCATATATCATATGTATCGGTAGGTCACTGTCATCTATATATTTTCACATTACTGAATTAAATTAAATTTTGCGTTTATCAGTTACTCCATTTCCATCAATGAGGGGCTGATGCCTTGGCAAATGCATGTTATAAAACATATTATAGTTATTAATGTATCTTTTTTTTTCATTTTACAGAAAGCAGACTGAATCATTGAAAAACCCTTTTTACTCCTTGAGCTTTTGAGAGGAGAAGAGACTTGGCCCTGAAGTGAGTGTAACACAACTTTTAAGGATGGGGTCCATGTTCCGTAGTGAGGAGATGACGCTGTGTCAGCTGTTTCTCCAGTCCGAGGCTTCGTATGCCTGTGTGTCGGAGCTTGGTGAGCTGGGACTGGTCCAATTCAGAGACGTGAGCATTGTCAAAACCTTATAAACAACAAATTGTTGATTTTACCTGTCTGTGAGCAGGTTGACATACATTACTGTATATGACCTTAGATGTTAAACTCCAATTGGACTAAATTAAAATTTGAATCAGGCTGATGTCAGTTTGAAGCTTTAAGATATTGTCTTATTGGGTAAGAAAATGTAATTCATTTTGTAGTGTATATTGGTGTTAAGTTTTGATGTTAGAATGTTGCATTGCCAAAATGAGGAAGATCAGTATTGTAATATTACCAATATAGATAAGTGGGGGAGACATCCTGATTGAGGCGTGTGAGCTATTACCTACATGCAAAGTATCTTCTTGTCGGACTGTATCTAAATTTCATACTTTGTCTGACTGTATTTTCAGTTGAATCCAGATGTAAATGCTTTTCAAAGGAAGTTTGTGAATGAAGTCAGACGTTGTGATGAAATGGAAAGGAAACTGAGTAAGTAAATGTAATACGTCAGTGTTTGTTTTGTCTGTAAGGAGTCAGGTGTGGGAGATCTCCATCCAATGCTTATTTTAGAATGTTTTAGACATTGATATCCAAATTAGCTCTAGGTCAGGAATCAAAGACACTTGCCAAATATTTCTATAACTTATGAATTGGTTGATATTTTTTTTTATTTTTTTCTACTTTCAGGATTTTTGGAGAAGGAAATAAAGAAAGATGGCATCCCGATGTTGGATACGGGTGACAACCCAGACGCGCCTGCACCTCGTGAGATGATAGACTTGGAGGTGAGGTCTCTTCCAACATGTCAAACTTCTCCGAGGCCCCTGCTTCCTCAATTTTAAATGTTTTGAAATTATCATGTACAAAACTGATACAAAATTATAGATTGCTACTATTTTATTTTTGTTCATGAATATTATAGAACAATTGGTGTAGTGACCTATCTAGCTAGAATTTGAATAAGCCCTCTAATTATATGACACTCGGCAATACCTGTACTTAGGTATAATACAATTCCAACAATCATTTAAAACACTCCATAGAAATGGAGGAATTGGTAGAATTGATGTAATGCAAATGTCTTCACTATTTAGGCTACCTTTGAGAAGCTGGAGTGATATAATGTAAATGTCTTCACTATTTAGGCTACCTTTGAGAAGCTGGAGAATGAAATGAAGGAAGTCAATGCTAATTCGGAGGCCCTGAAGCGGAATTTCTTAGAACTCACCGAACTCAAGCACATCCTTCGGAAAACACAGACATTCTTTGATGAGGTATATAAAAATCATACATGTCGGACCACTAATGTCGTGAAGTTAGATTCAATTGAGTTTATTTGAGAAAAAAACCACAGCAATTATTATTGAAAGAATTTATATCCAATGATGGTTCACTTTTAGATTTGATCTCATCAACATCTAGTTTGACTCTCCGGTATTACTTGTACATTATTTACAAGTGTGTGTGTATAGCGTAGCTGGTTATATGAATCACAGCTGTTTTATAATTTCTTTACTCTAACACACAGATTAACACTGTGTCATTTTGGGGGACAATCTTGTGGTAGTGATTGTGGGTTGGGTTTTTGTTTCTTTTTCCCTTGAGGAAGTTTGATGTGTTATTCCCTCTTGATGACTGTGCTTGAATTTTTAAAATTAAGATAAATACATCATTTCAAAATAATGTTTTTGATTAGATGAAGAAACATGTTTTTATTGAATATGTTAAATAATTTTAGTACTTTTTTTTTTTTTACGTTTTAAGATAGTTTTCAATAATAAATACATTAAATGATTATCCTCTGCTTTTCGAAGAACACAGGATATTATTTTGTGTTTGTCCGTCTGTTTATCACATTAAAGTTCAGTGATTTTTTGCTCAGTTTTACAGCCGAATACAGGCCGTTTCCCCTAGCAAAAAAGTGCCTTATTTTCTCAAAACGACCAAAAAATTGGGAATATTTTCACTATTTCAATAAAAAATAATGCTATATTTTCTCAATTCATAAAGGAACAGGTTGTTGTAAGTTTTTTGTGAAAAAACACTGAAGTTTCAATAACTGCCCTACTAATGGATTAGTTTAAAGTTAATTTGAATGCTTACGGTATATATATTACCTGGTGATATGAACGAGGCTGAGTTTGAGCATGAATGTGATCCGTGCATATTTGTGCATGCTTGATGAGGTTGTAATAACTCTCCTTATAATGCGCAATTTCAATGAAATTTGGTTTCCATATACATATTGACAAGTCAGGCTGGGTTCCATCGTGAATACAATCCATGTATATTTTAAAGCAATTAATGATGTTACAATAAACTACATCTAGAACATGCCCCGAAAGTGAGGGATTTCCACAAATTCGCTTGTTAATATCAAATAATTTCAAGTTTTATTATTATTAAAATATTCATAATTCCGTCCGTGTTTAACTGTTTTCAGCATTACAATAACTTTTTAGAACCTAACTGTAGTGACTTATTTTGAAGTGATTTAAACTGTGTTAAACGGTTGATTATCCTGGTTACAATAAAAGGAAATACAGTACTTGGTTCAGTTTAGATTTAACATAGTGTAAATGTTTGTGTTTACTTACTTATTCTGTTGGATATTTAAGGTGGTTGGTGTGTAATGACGTCTGCTTTAGGGCTATCATGTAGAGATAATAAAACAAAAACACTGGTGCAAAATTAAGTCCATATTTTACCATATTAATTTTTAAAAATTCAAGTGCATTATTGTTCCCATGTGTTCTTATTGTATGAGCATGGTTGGTTAGTGTTGTAGTTCTATAGACAGTGTGTATTATGCTCTGTAGACAGTGTGTATTTATGGCCGTCTGCTCTGTAGACTGTGTGTATTTATGGCTGTCTGCTCTGTAGACAGTGTGTATATGCTCTGTAGACAGTGTGTATATGCTCTGTAGACAGTGTGTATATGCTCTGTAGACAGTGTGTATATATGGCTGTCTGCTCTGTAGACTGTGTGTATTTATGGCTGTCTGCTCTGTAGACAGTGTGTATATGCTCTGTAGACAGTGTGTATATGCTCTATAGACGGTGTGCAATTTATGGCTGTCTGTTCTATAGACAGTGTGTAGTTCATTGGTCCTAATGACCTATCCTTTATTGATGGGCTGTTATGCGTGTAGCTATGTAATAATAATGAGTTTCAATCAAAATTATAATACTGATAAATCTACACCGCTTACAAATTCTGATTGCTCCATTGTTAGACCTTATATGTTTGTGTTTGCGTTTTCCTATAAAGCTTTACAATTTTACGTGTCTCCAATAAATGTTAATAACTCCGTTGTTGTTTGTGGACCTATTTATCACATCTATTTAACCAACTTTGACGATACGAGTAACAAATCATCACACGACATTCAGTTTTGCTTTCAATTTTCCAAGAATTGTACAAGTACTGTAAGCATAAAATTTTCTTAAGTCATTAATTTTGTTTGAATTGTTAGAAGCTATCGTTATGAAGTCATCCTTGCTTCTCTGATCTTGGAAATGGCACTGTCAAATACAGTTCTGTCTAGAAGCAGTGTTTTTCATTTTGCCCAATATAATATCTGGGTTTTAGATTTAGATAACTCTGCTAGTGTCACTCAGCATACTGGGAGTCAGTGATAAAAGACCATTAATATGCATGGCATTTCTGTCCCATAGACATTAGAAATAATGGCCAAACATATTTTTCTGTGGGGATCCTGCAAGGCGCACCCAAAATCAATCACATTGCTTCGCCTTGAGAAGGCAAAACATCACATGCATGCTTATTTTTCTTACTTGATAAAAGTGAATAACAATACATAACTGGTTGCACCTCCCACACATACCTATGTGTAACTAGTAAACTGAAAGCTGCATAGTAGAACGCCATAAGTGTTGCCCAATTATAATAGGGGTACATAAAATTATAGTGTTACCGGTGTCCGTTCTGTCTGGTCCTGTCCCATCATGATTCTTCATTGTCATCAATTTACCAACTTCAGGGGCAAAGGGGCATTCATGTCTTTACAAGTATTTTTCTAGTTTCATTTTAAGTTAAAAATATTTAAAAAATAAAAAATAAAGTTTTTCTTCCAAGATTCAAATTTCCTGCTGCCATCAGGTCTAGAATACCACACAAAAGAACAGCTAAAATTGTGCACTATTTCCAACTAAATTTTAGAAAACTTAATGAAGTGTTGTTGATTCATGTTTTAATATGCTGAGAACGAGATCTGTTTAAAGTTGAAAAAAAATCACATTTGTTGAGTAAAGATTCAAGCTGAATTTATTACAGACTATAGTAGGCACACAAACTAATTTGTTTACATTTTGAAACTCCTGATATTCTTTTGCTGGTCAATAGCAATTTTAATCTCAAGCCATAAAGGATGAATCATCTGTAGATAGTAGTGTTAATATTAAACTGTACACTGCATACTTGCCAACCCTTCCTATATTGGTGGGAGACTCCCTGATTTTGGACCCTAAAATTGAGCATTTTCAACCAGTGAATTTGCTTAACTCTTTTTATTTTCTAAGATCTGATGATATCATCTGAAAAGACTAATTCAAAGTTGCCATTTGAAAGTGTAATTTTTTCCTAGAGTGTACATACACATTTTATTTATACTTTTAATTCCTAGCACACATAATCTCCGCCATGGAAATTTAAAAAAAGTTGGCAAGTGTGACACTGTGTTTCATGCATCAAGATGTTTGTTGTTTGTTGTTGTTGTTGTTGTTTTCAGTTTGAGCCTGATTTTGTAGTTTTTTGCTTGTTTTCCTTTGGAGGGAGGGGTGATTTTATTTTGTTATGTATCCTTGTTTGACCAGGCTGAACTTCATCACTCTCAGGCCTTACATGACCCGTCTCTCACGGAGGAGAACCTAGGCCTACTGGGAGAGGAAGCTCAGCGCACAGGACAAGCTCTCCGGCTAGGGTAAGGACGGAGTTGTCTTCTCTACTGGCAGAAATATCTTCTTTTGATAACTTTGTCATAAATGTCCTTGATTACAGGAAGATAAAAAATGGTATGTTGGCCTTAGTTCCTCATTCGTACATCCATTTTGTATGTATATAGCAATGATAACATAAACCAAACAAATTTTGACAAATTTAATAGCATGCAAGAGACATGAACAGCAAGTTTTCCGATGAGATACATGTTTCTAATAAACTAGAACTCATATAGAAATTCAGGAATATACTTCTAAGTCCAACCAATCAGTCCAATACACATTCCCGAAAGTTACACTGAAATACCATTCTGTCACTGAAATACCATTCTGTCACTGAAATACCATTCTGTCACTGAAATACCATTCTGTCACTGAAATACCATTCTGTCACTGAAATACCATTCTGTCACTGAAATACCATTCTGTCACTGAAATACCATTCTGTCACTGAAATACCATTCTGTCACTGAAATACCATTCTGTCACTGAAATACCATTCTGTCACTGAAATACCATTCTGTCACTGAAAAACCATTCTGTCACTGAAATACCATTCTGTCACTGAAATACCATTCTGTCATGTCACTGAAATACCATTCTGTCACTGGAATACGTAGACTATCTCAAGCATGACTTCTACAAATATAAACACAATTAATAGAAAAATACAGATAATTTGGCAAAATACACACTTATACCCACTCTAAAATATCCTTTATACATTTAAGCTAAATGCATGTGCGACTTGCTACGCTACACCTGTAGTACAATGTTAGAACTACGCTACAAACGAAACAAAATTTATTTTATCAACCGATAACTTGTCTTGTCCACTGTTTGTGCATAAAAACATTGGGATATGTGTTCCAGTCTTAAGAACAGAAATGTGAAGTTTCATATATTCGGCCAGTAGTTTGCTGGTGTGGAATGCTACAAATTTGCTAAAAGCATGAACTTGACCAATATGTAAGGAAGGTCACAGGGGTCAAAATAAATTATTTCTTCTGAAGAACCAAAAGGCTTATAGAGAGTCATGATGTCTGATCAGTAATGGGCTGGCATGGAATGCTACAAAGTGTGGGAGCCAACATTACATTGACTTATATATTCAAGGTCACAGGGTCAAAATGTTAAAAATGTGTGTTGTCACAATAAATGCTGTGTGTTGTCACCGTTAATGCTGTGTGTTGTCACCATTAATGCTGTGTAATGTCACAGTAAATGCTGTGTGCTGTCACCGTTAATGCTGTGTCTTGTCACAGTAAATGCTGTGTGCTGTCACAGTAAATGCTGTGTGCTGTCACCGTTAATGCTGTGTGTTGTCACAGTAAGTGCTGTGTGTTGTCACAGTTAATGCTGTGTGTTGTCACAGTAAATGCTGTGTGTTGTCACCGTTAATGCTGTGTGTTGGTCTGATAGGTTTGTGGCTGGTGTTATACTACGAGAAAGAATCCCAGCATTTGAGCGTATGTTGTGGAGGGTGTGCAGAGGAAACGTGTTCCTACGTCAGGCTGAAATTGACAACCCTTTGGAGGACCCTGTCACAGTGTGTATTGCTAATTCTATTTATTGTTCACATCTTGTTATACATTATATTTGAAAACCAGTTCAGTTGTAGGTCACACAAGTTGATGATTTAGCCGGTTTATTGATAATTTTACTTTCTATAATTTTTTTGAAAAGAAAGCAGAAATAAGGTAATGTGTCAAAGTCACTTGTAAACTGATCTATCAAATAAAAACCTGAGAAAAGTATTGCAGGGCTAGAAAAACTTCTGTTGAAGAATGTCGTTCTCCAACTGTTCAGTCTGCTGCAAGGACGATGTCATTTCCTTTGTAGGGCGACCAAGTAGACAAGTCTGTATTCATTATCTTCTTCCAAGGGGAACAACTGAAATCTCGAGTGAAGAAGATCTGTGAAGGGTAAGTCTGCTGCCATCAGAGATATGTTGGACTGTATTTTGTTGGTACAATATACAACTTGATCAATACATATTATTTAGGTCCTTATCTGCTTTAAAAGACAGTGTCAGCCGTATGCATAATAGATATATACAGTGGGTTTCACTGTAACTACACTATAACATTGTTAAGTAATAATCAGTAGGATAAAAGTGATATCCTCATTAAAAAATGGATCATCTTCCCTAGTGATGAAAGCAACATCACAATACAATGTTGACATGTAGTTAGTCCAGTCAGATGATTCAATAAAACAGTATTTTTGATGGTCAATTTACTGCTGTGTTAGGAAATGGAATAGTTTTAAATATGTATCAATAGTTACAATACATATCAATTTATTTCAGTTCTATTTTAGGTAATATTTAGGGTCCCAGCATTAGAGATAGTAATCATGGTGTCTGTCTGTCTGTCTGTCTGTCCGTCTGTAGGTCTGTCTGTTTCTGGATATTATCTCAGAACCCAGATGTCGTCTGTAGTAACACAACTTCACCTCTCCTTTCAGATTCCGAGCCACGTTATACCCGTGTCCAGAAACACCAGCTGAAAGGAGGGAGATGGCCATCGGTGTGATGACGCGTATTGAAGATCTGAATACTGTAAGTACAGTTATCATACCAGCTAAAAAGTGTAAGTTAAGTCAAACTGTAAGTACAGTTATCATACCAGCTAAAAAGTGTAAGTTAAGTCAATTTAAATAGCTTATCTGTGTAAGAATATGATCAACATGTTTGTGTATCTCTAGAAGTGGAATGAGTGCCAGTAATGAAAAGAAGAATTTGTTTACAGATTTAAGATTCTGTTTCTCCAGGTGCTGAGTCAGACCCAGGACCACAGACATCGTGTTTTGGTTGCTGCAGCACGTAACATAAAGGTTTGGTTCATCAAGGTGAGAAAGATCAAAGCTATCTACCACACACTCAACATGTTCAACCTGGACGTCACCCAAAAATGTCTCATCGCCGAGTGCTGGTGTCCAGTGGGTGACCTTGACCGCATTCAGCAGGCACTCCGGAGGGGCACGGTATGAACAACTTCTGTAACTTCTATGAACAACTTCTGTAACTTCGTTCAGATTTTTATCAAGTAACCACCTAAGGGAAAGTTCTAAACCATTGTTTAATAAAGGTTGTTGCTGAATAAAGTTTGACAATAACATTTTACAGAATAAGATACAACTGACCAACCTCTTTATCAGACAACTGATCGCCATCCCAAATCATATTCATTGGAAAAACTCTTTTATTTTATATTTTGCCAAACTAGTTTCTGCTTTTCATGTCATTATCTTTAGGATTGAGGTTAAACATACATTTTTCTAGCTACTGAAAAGTAGTTGTTTATTTATTTTCCTGAATTATTTTCGTTTGACTGTTGAATAGTTGCATTGCTCATATAAAACATATATGCCTATAGTCAATAGACTACGAAACAAACATACAGCTGTTATACAGGATAAAATTTAAATAGTATACATATGATAAATTTGAACTTGTATTATCCTGAAAACTTATCCTGCTAAGCTGTCAGTTTACAGAATAGGAGTGCCTGTAAGGCCAGTGTCTTTATGTTGATGTGACCCTAGGGTAAATGGGTGGGACAAAAACATTTACAAAGGAAATGGATAATGCACAGGAAAATTGTTTTGTTACAGGAAAGAAGCGGCAGCTCTGTGCCGTCGATTCTCAACCGAATGATGACAAAACAAGTTCCACCTACCTACAACCGCACAAACAAATTCACCCAGGCATTCCAGAACATAGTGGACGCCTACGGTGTGGCCAGTTATAGAGAGGTCAATCCAGGTAGGTGTCGCTAGGGAGTGGCCAGTTATAGAGAGGTCAATCCAGGTAGGTGTGGCTAGTTATAGAGAGGTCAATCCAGGTAGGTGTGGCTAGTTATAGAGAGGTCAATCCAGGTGGGTGTGGCTAGGGAGTGGCCAGTTATAAATAGGTCAATCCAGGTAGGTGTGGCTAGGGAGTGGCCAGTTATAGAGAGGTCAATCCAGGTAGGTGTGGCTAGGGAGTGGCCAGTTATAGAGAGGTCAATCCAGGTAGGTGTGGCTAGGGAGTGGCCAGTTATAGAGAGGTCAATCCAGGTAGGTGTGGCTAGGGAGTGGCCAGTTATA